TTGAATGACGCTTGTTAACACTACCTATTTTCAATCTATCTGTCGTCCTCTGTGTTCTGATCACCAAGCAAAATTTCCAATGATTATAGTTAACCTCTTCTGGTTAACTAGTTCACTAGTTACTAGCTGATCCTAAGCCCGGATAAGGAGGGAAGGTTAGGCATAGCGCTACCAACCCTAACCCGTAAAGCCAATTCAACCTCTAATGGAACTTCGAAGCACAAAGAAAATAAAAAAAACAACTAATTACTCACTTGAATCAGAGAGACGAAATGACGCCGGTTGGTGAAAACCTTCGGGAAGTCAACTGGTCGATGTGTCTTCGCTCGATGAGAGAGAAGGCAAACATCGGGGCTCGCAAGGCTGTCCAGATTGCAAAAGAGATGAGAAGGTATGGCATAGAAGTGCTAGGAATCTGAGAGGAATCTACAGATGAAATGGAATGGAAGTGGACTCTCCAAACTGTTAACTGGAGAGTCAATAATCCACTCAGACATTGTCACCCAGAAGACAAGCATGAGCACAGCACACTGAGTTTTCGAGTGGCTATCATGATGTCCACAACAGCATCGAAGGCTCACTCTCATGCAATGGAAACTAATCTCCTCCTCCAGGATCGTGAGCAGGAGAAAGTGAAGATGGATTGGGCATACACTGAGAAAACCATGTGGAGACACCACACACCTTCGACTGGAATCTGAAGAGAAAACGACGAGTTGGGTGTCCGAGGGTGACATGGAGAAGATCATGTGAGGAAGAAATGAAAGCTTGTGGGAAGTGGTGGAGCCAGGTTGGAAAGATTGCGCAGAACAGAGTGAAATGACGACGTGCTACTCAAGCCGTATGTTCCATTAGGAACCCAAGGGACAAATAATATAACATAATTGTGAATTAATGAAATTCTTAGTTTGGACTACATGAACAATATATCAGTGAGTCATCTGGTTCGCAATCGATTTACCGTTGTTTATGCCGCAGCATCTCAGCAAGTTTCGCAATTAAGCAGTCGTAAAGAATATTGGTGATATCATATACGTCTATAGCGAAGAAAAACAGTTATTCAATGTTCACTTTAATGAACGCTAAACTGAGATAACTACAGCGACATTTTTGGACTGCAATAACTTCATATCTGCTTGATTTTTATTTGCGAAAACTGTAGACTACTTGTAAGTTTTATCAGTAGGCTGAATTATTCTAATGTACCTATTCAGCTGGAAGTGCGTTGATTTCTTTGTAAAACATGCCTTTTTTGAAATATGATGAAAAAGGGAATTTCATGTACGTTTATGACAAGCTACAATCAATCTAGTAACAGTTCAGTGCTTGTTGTACTGCTGAAGAATTCGTACTTCAATGAAAACTTCAATTATAGGCAGTGAACATTCATAAACAATTTCTGATCACATTAACTTTCGGTTAGATTGGTTTATATTTCATAGTCATAACAAGTGACAGTGAGAATTTCAATTTTTCATAAACTTAGTGCTATCAATGGATGCTATTGTTCATATCTAACAAGTCTATTGAGTTTCTGGCAACGGATAGCGCAATAAACGATTCGTACCAAGTGATTCATCTCAACAGAGTAAGACAGACCTGTAACCTCATTGGAAAAAACCATTTTGATCAGTTATTCATACTTTGTTATATTTCAGTAACGCAAGACTATTGATTTATCTCTCATTCATCTCGTACTTACTGTGTATCAAAGGGATAAAAGTCTGAAAAGCTTATCCCATAAGTAAATTATTTCATACTAACTGTGATCAAGATTTGACCGAATAGCATCAAAACTATTGAACATTTACGTTACAAAATATAAACCTTTGGCTAAAAATTGATTTTGATGGAACCAACATTCAGTGGAAAGTTTTATGTCATACAAAGAAAGATTAAAAGACAAGGACCCATATACATTTGTAAATCCATCATCGTTGAACAGACTAGATGCCTCTTAGTAGCTACTAATCATTAAATAGACAGGGTTACTGTTGAATTTACGTTCATCAGCGCTGTCGTCTTCATTATCTTTCCATCAACAATAACAACAATAAAGGATCTCAACAAAATTGATATCAAGTGGCCATCGCATATGGATGTATGTTCAAAATTAACATAATAAACGCGTTAGTAGTTCACTATGTTCAAAAAGTTTAGGCACTATACCCCAAATTGTTAACACAATGCACCTATCTACTTGAAATGTAGGGAATGTACTACTTTATTACATAATGCAGTCACTCAAAATAACTTGAATATAAATGAGAAAGTGAAAACAAATGAATGCTGTTCTCAACGCCTGATTATTTTAAACTGATGATGTCATTGGCAACTTAGATGAACTGTTCTATCAACTGTTAAATGAAATCACATATTTCATGATGGAATTTAGTCTGTACAGAAAAGTACAAGAATCAATTTTCAGTAGGTTATCAATGCAGATTGAACACTAAACTACAATACATTGATTTCTAGGGTTGCTGAACTTAGCGACTAAATTGTAGACTTGATTGATGAACTACGTTCAGCATTGAGCACAAAAACCAGATTGCTACATCGATAACTCACTGATGACAGATCTATTCACTTATCCAAACATTAAGAGAGATGGTCATGATGGTGAAGTCTCTGGCTAAAGTACTGAGTAAAGCACGTTCGAATATCTTATGGAACAACTGTTATACTCATGACTGTCAGTAGGAATTACTGGTGATTGTCAATTAACAGGAATCTATGTTTAGGGATTCCTACTAACTGACATGCATAGCTAAGCACACAGAAGAAAATAATTAAACAGTGGTAATCTTTACCTTCAGCTTGCTTCAATGTTTTTGTTCAATATTGTAAAACATAAGATATGAAATTTCGTCCTGACAAGCACAGCACTGTGAACATCATTCTGTTGAACACATGATACAAATAGGTGTCCACTCTGACGAATGTAGTGTGTGTCGATACAGTCTAATGATATCAGATATGCTGAAGAAGTAACAGATGAGTTCACATCTATATCGTGCATCCACTGTAGTTTACTGTTACTTACCAGCTTGTTAACAGAACTACAACTTTACTATGAAGTAAGTGCTAGTTGTAAACTGGTCACAACTAACTCTCATTGATCATGGAACAATATCCCATTCTCATCATTACTCCATGCTACGAACCCTGATTATCATATCAAGTACATAATGACTCTGCAACCTCAATGAAAAGAAACTGAAATCAACACACCTATCATGCATTTGTCTGACAACATCCTACTTTCATCAGACCACAGTATGAAGTATCATTCAGAAGTGAATGAATGAACGAATTGATGCTTAATTGTCAGTCAAGTAATGAAACAGCACAAGATGAGAATTATGGTGGCCTGATATTTTTTGGTACACATGTCATCACCACTCTTAGTGACATCTTCAGCACTAACATCATAAAGAAGTGAAGCATAGTGGAATACTACACGAGTGTTAAGACATTGTTTTTATTGACGTTGAATGTTTTCCATTTGTAGGTTGCATACTGACCTGTCTGAGCTTAAATTCTCTTCAGTCACTTCATTCGATATTCTTTGTTGGAGTGGTCTGTTGGTCTGTTTGCTACTGACACTTTGTGCATCATCACTTATTTGTTCGATGAGTTTGACCTTGGTTGATGGATGACTATTTTCTTCGTAAGTAGATTGTAGATTTGGTCTAAATTCGCATATCTGTTGATTGACATTTGGTTTGAATGTCAAACTTCTAGAGATTCTCTTACTGCTTTGTGACCTGCTCTTTGGGAGATTTCTATATTCTTCCAGTCGAATTTTTGATCATGATTCTCTTCATGTATTGAAAGCAAGGAGTCTTCATCATGTCGTATTACTGCTAGTTGTTGTTTATGAATTCTTTGAATAATCCGACTGCTAGACTCACCAACATATTACTGTGAACAACTTTTAAAATCAATTTCGTAGTTTATATTGATCCTGTCTTTTATTCGTATCCTTTAATTTTCACAGTATGCTACTCAGAGATTGTGATGGTTTGCATGATGTTCTAACCTATCTTGTGTTCTACTGAAAAAACACTTTTAGATGAAGATGATACATTCATAATTCTCAAAGAAGATAAAATTGAAAACACGTTCAAACTAATAAATCAAACATTTTAAGGAGTTGATTTGATAAATTAGCAGGAATTCAATGAAAAAATTCATTCTTTCAATGTCCTTATTCACAGAACCCACGAAAAGAATCTATAAACTCAGGTGTATAGGAAAACTACACATACAGACCAACCAATGAAGTGCAATAACAATCATCCTACAGTCTATAGAAAATATGATGTTCATACATTATTCTTAAGAACCAAAACACATTGGAGCAATGAATCACTACGGAAAGCTGAGGAAAAATACCTGTACATAGTGTTCAAAGTCAATGATTACCCATCCAACTAATTATAAATACATATATATATATTATCCATAAATATTACAAGTAGTATTAGTAGCACTAAGGGAGAAGTTTCCTAATTTATGAATAAAACGGTGAATACAAATTAAAATATTATACTCCTTCTGTTCAAATAAAGTCAATTATGAATACAATTTGTAAAAAGTTTATAAAATACAATAAAGATAATATAATAAGCAGGAATAAAAGCATCGTACTAAATAGGTAACTAACTAATTCAATGTATTGAAGCCTAATATGTATTTATGTGCATATAATGGTAGATATCCTAATTACTGTAAAGGAGAATAGCATGCTGAACTATATAAAGAATATTATAAAGGATTGATTGATTAAGTTTACATATATTCACTGCTGCAAGGAGATCAGTTATTATGCGAATATACAAGTAAATATTGTGATGTATGAAATATGTATAAGCGAATTAAACAATGAATCAGTAAATAAAACAGATTATATATGCATTGAAATCATAGTATTTGTAAGCTGTACACTTCTCTGTACGCTTTCATTGATAGATATGTTTATTTATGTATTAGGTTTAACTATTCACTGATGAATTAGTTGGCCTACTATGAGATCCTGTGAAGAAGACAGAGAATTGACCAATAAAATTTAATAAACCTAACAGTACAATCAACATATGAATGAAAACAATGAAATACCATTTCAATGTATCACGTTCTGATATTATCTTGAATTTAATTATTGAGGATAATTCACTGCGGTTATCAATATGAAATTCATTAAATGGTGTATGATCATCGGTAGTTTTAACATTAACTCCTTCACGTCCTATTATAGCTTCATTTAATAGCTTTTCAGAATGAACTTCTGGTACAATCGATTGTTTCTGTGATTTCATTCGATTAAGAGCTCGTGTATTTAAAAGGTAGATTATTGGTGGGAGTGCAAACATGTAGACTAATCCACACAATGAACCACTGAATCTATAAAACGATGGAAATAAATAAGCAGATTTATATTTTTATATACTTGTAGAGTAATATTTATTTGTATCATAATAATAGTAGTGGTGGTGATAATAACTATTACTATGATGTAATAATAATGGTGATAATGGTGAGTTGGCACAAGAGGTAGCGAGGACAGGACTTCAGGTGAACGTCGAGAAGACAGATATGATGGAGATACCTAACGAACAACAACAACCACAAGCACTAATCACCAACCACGGGTGAAATCCAAATAAAGTTACCTCATTCACCTACCCACCTACCTAGACAGCATCTTTTCAACTACATGCAGCACAGGCACAGATGAGGATGTCAAAGCTAGAATCAAAAACACAGCAAGATACGTCTTTATTGATCTGAAATAATCGCTGTGAAGATCTACTGTACTGCACTGCATTGCACTCAGCATAAAGCGTGAACAAGATCCGGATTTTCAGCACTAAGTCAGTTAAGTCGTTGCTTCTATGAGATGGTTGAGAGACTTGGCGCGTTACGAAAAGCAATTCCAACAAACTCCAGACATACATGAACAGCTGTCACCTACACCGAATACTTAAGATCAAATCAGGCGGCCAGAAAGAATAAGCAACGAGGAACTCTGGCTGGCTGGCAACGAACCAACCAACCAAGAATCTATCGCCCAACAAAATCTACAGAAAAAATTGGAGATGGATTGGGAATACACTGGGGAGACCATTCGGGGATATTACGCGTCAGGCTAGGCCGTCGAGTGGAACCCAAAGGGCGAATGACGAGTTAAACGTCTGAGTATTACATGGAGGAGATCATATGAGGAAGAAATGAAAGCTTGTGGGCATTCATGAAGCCGGGTTAAAAAGACTGCAGAGAAGAGAGTGAATTGGTGACGTGGTAGTGAAGCCCTGTGATTCCACTAGGAACCCAAAGGACAAATAATAGTAACAAATAGTAATCGTTATTTAATAGTGACTGATATCTTAATGTAAGTGTAAAACTTAGCATTTGTGGTGAAGCATATTCAGTTTCCCATTGAAGAATTATGATAGGAACGAGATCATCTCTAACTTTCACAGTTTTCAAACTTCAGTACAAATATTTGAAAAAACAGAAGCAGTAGCGACGTTATCTCCGATCGTAGCTGACAGACTTATGGATGATTCGGACCAGACATTATTAGGAGAATTTTAGATGATACATTTACTGTATTGAAATCAGAACGTGTCTAAAGCTTTTCGCACACATTAACTCGATGGTAGATGGAACTCAAATTACTTATGAATTAGAAAATGAAGAAGGAGAATTACTAATATTGGAATGCGAAAGGAGAGAAGATGGAAACCTGGATACCAATGTTTATGGGGAACCAGAACATTCGAATAGATACTTGGATTTCACATCATCGCACCTTATTTCTGTCAAGGTAGGCTCAATAGTAAATCAGAAAACTCGAATAAGGAACTAAAACACATCAAAGATACAATACTTCTTCACAACTATCCCCCAGAACTCATTAAACAGTATATAAGGACTGATACGAGAAGGAGTGGTAATCTTAGTGTTGACTGCTTAAACGGTGTTCAAATCCTCTCGGGTGGTGTCGTATAAAGAAGGCAAAATAACCTAATCTACCAAATACCATGTAATGATTGTTATTTCAAGTGTATGGGTCAAACAGCCGATCAATGTCTATCAGAATAGCAGAACACAAAAAATTAGACCATACTAAGATGAGTAATTTAGAGAAAAACTTGGCTGTCGTTCTGCATGCACTGACCCATATTCACACTATGTAGTAAGATACAGTGACAATTCTAAGTAATATAACTTGGTGAAGTGGGAAAACAACCAGGAATGACTCATCATCATGTGTTTGAATATAGCAGATATCAGGAAACTTTTACCACTATTAAAAAAATGAATGAAGAACTGTTGGACTACATAAAGAAAATCTGAAAGTCGTATGGTTACAATGATATGCAAGTGAGCAGTAAATTCTAGTTGAAATTTCCCCTCACCTTATGTGGAAAATAATACTGCTGCTCCGTGTACCACATCAAATAATATAACTGGTGTCTTATTTCTGCTATAACGCCGCAAGCTGTAGTGGAGCAGTAATGGATTGTCAATGACAGCCTTTCAAGGCAGTGAAAGACGTGGGCAAAAAACGCTATCCACGTTGACTTACTCTATATCTATGATGACATGGATCGCTCAGCCAGTAGGCCTAACTGAGATCTGAATAATTGTATAATGAGGTAACACAAAGTGAAATAATTCGTGAATTATGTCTGTTTACCTTATGCAGTTGTTACTTAGTAATCAGATACATGATGAGAATTTCAGACTGTATCCAATTTGTTTGGAATAAGGTAGGGTGAATAAGTCATTAGAATCGTATTGATCATCTTGATATAGACCACAGTCACCGATATTGTACTCAATACTCAATATGCGTGCTGATGTACTAATCAATGCACTATCTGAACTATCAAAATCATCTGAGTACTTGGCTTGTTCAAGTTTTTGAGTTTAATAACTAACTATGGGTACAAGATTGTAGATACCATTCACTTTGCTGACATGTCAAGCTGAGTTTACGGTTTCTTATCTGCACCAAGTAAGACTACTAGTCCTTAGATATATTTTGAAAGCCTCACGACATCAAACTAAATGACATCAGAAAATTGAATCCAGGGTATCCTTAATTGGTAAATGATGAATCATAAGATTCTGTTAGCTGATACACTGCCAAGTCAGTTGGTAATAGTTTTCACTTATTTGTATAAGTAAAACTGCACAAAACCTCATTATATGAAAAGTATGCTCATCAAAAGGCAAAAGCTGATACCGGTCACACAAGAGATGGTCGTCGTGCCACAGTGGCCTAATGGGCAACGCTCTATTATTTGATTCAATAGGTGCTGTGTTCCACTCTCTATGAGAACATCACTTACTTGAAAGCTGATGTATTCTAGTGAAGAGTTTGGGAAAGGATGATATGTGCGTCTTGTTAGTCACCACAGTAAGCACGTAGCACGAAGATTAAACTTGGGGCAATATGAAGGCATCTGTACAAAGAACTTGTGTGTCACAACAGACTTACCGATGCAGTTCAGCATGTTGTGGAAATTTAACTGACATGCTGGTATTTTCGAAAATCCTATGAAGATAGTCATGACTGCAAAATAGTTTTCATTGATACGAACTTCGCACACTTAGCAAGTATATGACACAATATTGGTGGGATTAAACAAGTCCTTGTGGACGCAGTTTATTAAACTAGCTGGATAGCCGATCAAGTCATGGCATAAAGGGTCTCGAAGGATTTCTAACGACACAAGCCGATTGATGACGTGATCGTCCATTAACTAAGATGCTTTAGACATGTACTGCGTACAATCAGGCGCCGTCTACCAAGATATGTCATGTTAGGGAATGTTGGATCAGGTTGAAAGATGCTTTAGGATGGCCGAAACAAGATGTGACACCACTTCATGAAGTCCCTAACTGTTGGTCTAGGCTGCGTGGTTGAGGTCTGCGAGACGATAAGAATCGTTGGTTGGGGACTCTTGGTGGAATTGCTGAAAGTTGGTCACAGTGGCGCAGATGAGTACACTCATTGACGTCTCTTAAGGCTTGAATATTCACACTAACCATTATCTTCAGATTGTTTGTTCTCTTACACAACTTTCTTCACTTTGATATCAGTCTTTTTCTATCCAACTGTTCTTTGTATCCAACTGTAAAATATGACAAATTGAACGGATGAACTTGGGTCTAAGGCTTTATTTATATTGGTTTTACTGATCCGTTTATCAGTCTTACGATAGTTTTCCTGAGACTAAAAATAACTATTAAACAGAGTGGATGTCACTACCAGACCCAACAACTAATTTAAAAAAAAAATGATCAAAATTTTGAAAAAGGAGCTTTTACGTCTACGTTGGTTAAGCAAACTAGCTTGTTTAGATACATTTGCATACAATGTCTGTCTGACAGTTCTTGAACACCTTTACGCTTGCTTGCTGTTTTCAACATTTTCTGATAACACACTGTTTCAGTAAGATGTATCATACCAAAAGAAGCATATGAAAGAATATGTGACTGTTTGAAAACACAACGTTTAACATTGTTTAACATAACTTCCAACGTGGCTGACCTGAAAGATTACACTAAAACATATTTAGCACTTTCGAAATATGAGATATTTGGTTCATTCGGTTATAGAATGCATGAATATGATTTCAATTGGCACATTTATACACCTTGATCCATACAAAATCATAGCCAGAGCCAATACCCGAAGACACAGTGGAAGAAAAGTGATACCATGAAATCTGTATATTTGTCTAACTGAAATGTATGACATACCTCAACAATCAGGGAATCGACTAAGCGCCTACTTCTGTCAAAAGGCTTTCGAATGAATTAAAAAAGCGTCTGAAGGTAGTCTATCACATTTATTATTATAATAATAATAGTGATAATAATAATATATATATCAACTTAGCTTCAGATCAACAGTCTTGTGTGACAGTTGAACATTATAAATCGTCTACTAATCTTCACTTCAATAAAAGTCAAAACAGTTTACATTTTAAATGCATAAATTAAATTAGACAAGTATTAAAAATACTGAAATATTCAATTTGTTGTTAAAGTGAATACTAACATACCTAATAATAGTGCCAATTTTCGGCATCAGCATAGCGAATGTTAATGACAATCCAAGTATAATTGCATGTAGTACAGTAACATGAATAAACCTAAGGTCATGTAAATAAATCAGGAAAATGAATATAATTATTCAGTAAATAATAAATGAACAAAAACACTTTTATGATGCATAAAATTCTGTGATTATGGCCATGTTTACATTTAAACTGATTAATTTGTTTTGAAATCACTGAATCTGAGAATATAGTTGATAGATATTTTAGACTGGTTTCATAAATTATACTTAATTTTGGGATCACAAGAATGAAGGAGGTTCATAGGATTTTTTGCAGCTACACATAAATGGTAAACATATTAATAGACAAGTAGTGGAATCCAGGGTGCACCTTTCTTCCTTTGTGAGACTTGTCAGTTAGATATATCTACCTCCCACTGAGTGATGCTGCCTTCACTAAGGGCTCAAACCTAGAACCGATCATTCCAAACGCTAAAGTGTTAACTACCAGGGTCACAGTAACCAATTCTTTTGCGATGGTTGTGATTTTAATGTTGTTGCTTGTAATATTCCGTTATTGATTCGACTGAATGGTCCATCTCTATCCACCATTATTATAAAATTGAAACACAAATGATATCAAGGCAATCAGACAGCATCCCATGTGTCAATAGAGACTGACCAAATTGGTCTCGTCAACGATGGAATAATACAAGTAACAACATAAAAATTAGTAGACGTTGTTCCCTTCACTTTAATGATAGTTTGATTAAATGTCAAAAATACCAAATTCATCTTTTTCTGTTTACATTTATTCCACTCTTCAGGGGGAAGACGTGTATACTAACTCTGGTTCGATTTCTTATATCAGTCATACACGAGGGACTGGAAAAGAGCAAATAGAAAAAGGGTTGTCACAGGTCACAGATTACTTGGAGCTAGCTGTACAGCTTGAAGGTTTTTAGATAATCTTCAACTTCCTAAAGTATTTATAAATTAATGTTACAAAATTTCAATGCACATAATTTACACTGGAGTTTATTATATCATTTCAGCCAGTAAGTCAGACAATTCTGTACGAATCTCATGCAGAAGTTATTCCGCTTCATTGACGAAACATTCCAGCTGGATCAAAAGTCAGTTTACCACTTATCATTTCAGTTAAGTTCATAAATATGTAGTACCAAACAACTGACTGCATGTGATCGGTATACACTGCCCAAGATGCTTAGTGATAGCTATCAGTTTTGCACATATATATTGACTTTTCTATTGGATCCAAACACTTTCATACAAATAAATGTGATGGACTGGATCATGCAGCAAACAGTCAGGAACGAGAAGAGTGGGATACGCTGAACCGGGGAAAAGATCCGAGAAGATCTGGATTTCGCCAACGACGACTTGTGTCTAATGTCACACAAACTTGAAAATCTACAGGCAAAATCTAACAAGTTGACAGAAGAGGTAATGCAGGGCAGCGAAGACGGTACTTCAAGTGAACAAAGAGAAGACAGACCACCACCAACAACAACAAGCTCCAATCACCATCAGCGGGAGAAACTTAAAGTAAGTAGCCTCTTTCACTTACCACCTAGACAAGGCAGCATAGTTTCAAATACAGGTGGTAGCACAGGCACAGATGGGGATGTCAAAACCAGGATCGGAAACACAGCAAGATGGGCGTTAATTAACCTGAAACCAGTGTGGAGATCTTCTGCGCTGCACTCAGCATAAAGCGTGAACAACATCCAATTTTCAACACCAATCCAATCAAGTCAGTGCTTCTAATATGGTTCAGAGACTTGGTGTGTCACGAGAGGCATTTCCAACAAACTACAGATATTCATCAACAACTGCCTACACTGGCTCGTTACTGAAGATGAGATAGCCAGAATAATAATAATAATAATAATATAATAGAGCAACAAGGAACTCTAGCAACGAACCAAACAAGAACCTATCGCCCAACAAGTATGCAGAAGAAGAGAGAGGAGATGGGTTGGGACCATTCAGAGACATCACACACCAGTCACTCTAGTGGAACGCAGGCGGGAAACGGCGAGTTGGGCGTTCACGGCAAGGGTGACATGAATGAGATCGTGTGAGGAAGAAATGAGAGCTTCTGGGCAGTCGTGAAGCCAGGTTCAAAAGATTGCAGAGAAGAGAGTGGAGTGGAGACGTGCTAGTAATAATAATAACTTACTCACCCTGGATATGCTTTCTTGAATATAACGTCATGATTTGCACTCTCAATACATAAACAATCATTGGGAATACAGTGAACATTTGTAGAAGTGAACCAAGTCTGCCAATGAATACAGGAATATCAGTTCTAAGATTGTTTAGAAGATTCTAAATTGTAATCACAGAATAAAAGAATGATTAACACTCATACACTGACAAGAATATAAGTAACAATGATGAAACCGAGTGTCAAAAAGTTAATCGTTCCTCATTACTTTCGTTATCCGCAGTTGCCTTTGCTAAAGCGATATCAGCTAAAGTGAGGTTATGAGGATGTTGACGGGAAATATCAGTACTGTTGGATAGAAGGTTAAATCACTAGATCCAGTGAAGTCGAAAATCAATATTTATAATCTTCTAAATGATTAGTGGCGATTTCCATTTATATGTATCTCCTAAGACTACTAGAATACTGACAAAGCTTGATCGATGACCATAAAGGAACACTTAATGCATTGCATTCACGAATAACGTCATGCGCTGTACTGCGAAGTCAGTGAGTACATACAACATCAAATATCTCGTCAAATATCGTGATATTTATAGATGCATACACTCAATAAATTTCAGATAGATATTTCCAGCTTATCTATGTTGAAACTCTTGAGTATCGACGTCAATGTTGTGGATACACTAAATGTTCAATATTGTTTTCAACTACCTGTCTGTTGATAACCTGCAAGCACTTAATAGCTGAATCAGTGAGATGATACTGCTTGCACACATCATGTACACTCAGTTCAAGTTCATTATTTCACCAACATTCCTCCAGCTACGCTCGATTCATATGAACTGTTGACTTCTGCTGCATTTTAGTTATGATGTATTAGGTCATCAACGTTATTCGCTTGTTGATATAACAAATGATATGAAGTAATCTGGGTAGCGGTTAAAACATAGCCATGAAACATTAATCATTTTGTAAGGTGAACTTCACCGGTTACGTGTTTATATGCTAAGTGGTTATTATCTGCCCATTTCGCCAAATACTTTTGATCTTATAAAGAAACATATTGATGTTCACTGAGCATATTGTGTGATAGACAAATAGTGAAAATCAATGAATGGTATTTTCTGAAATTTCTCGGCAGTATGGACTGTACAAAAATGTCATTGTCGCTGAGGAAATAGTAGCTAAGTAAGAAGTACAGTATTCTGTGTCAACTGAGTGAAGTGGCGAAATTCGTGGTGAATTGTTGAGTTACTTTATGAATGATGCATTTGATGATACTTTCAGAGCTTATCTCATCAGACTTACTTATTGTCAATCTGTGGTGTGTATGAGGTAAATTGAAAGATATCTGCATGACAACCCATTGGAAATATGTAACTGACATGTAACCACGTATCCACTGAAAGTTGTCAAGTTACCAGGAATACTATTCGTATTCCCATCGCAAAAATCTTTATGTCTATCCAAAAAATACCAGGTACGGATAAGCAAAGTACTTTCTGATTGAATGCAGATGGTGGCTAACAGTAGGTGTCGTGAGAGTCAGCCTTATTCATGAGGGATAATGCTTGGTACCTCTTTCCCCAGTTATTCAACAGTCTATTTTCAGTTTGCTTGGTCAATACTATACATAAAAGCCTAGTATTAAACAGGCTGAATTGTTTCTGACTACTCATTCGGTTCAGTAGTATATTTCTCTATAATATAATATTTTTAGAAAAATCTCAGAGTATTCGTTAGTTCATGGTACTTTTCCCACGAAAACCGTGTTCACAACACAATCGGGTTATTGAAAAACTACTCAGCTGTGAGGAATGTTAAAAAGTCCATGAAACTTTAAAACCATTCGTTATGCATGTTGTATGGGTGGCGAAAAATCGTTTAACATACATGGGAAAAGGCACCATTGTTCAAAACAGGATCAAATTCATAATAGAAGGGAAGTCAAACACAATATTTCGCCTTTCTACTGTTAGATTTGAACAATTTAAACGAAAATAATCCAGGTTTAATTAAAAGGAATGTCAACCAAGCTAAGAATGATGATTAGTCTACTAAAATAAAGGTAGCAAAATAGTAGAATAAAATTCTTGTTCTGTAAGTTAAATACAGTTACTGAGTAAATGTCAAAGGATATCTGCTTTTTAGAAACATAATACAATACAACGTAGATGCATAAAAGTGAAGGTATCCACTTTGCTTCAAAACATATCCCACGTGAATAACACAAATTTTCTGAATGTCTTCCATGTTACGCGACCTATTTACCTACATATCAGCTATACTGTATATTGTCAAGAAAATAGAGCGGTAACAAATAATTATTTATACGCTAAGAGATCAAACTATATAGGAAAAGATACAACTCCTATATGAATGACTATAGAAAATATAATAATAATACTGGAACAATTGGAGAATCAAGGGGATGAAGAAAATTTTTTAATTTTCCACTTGTTTAGCTTCAGATGAACAGATGAATAATAAGATACCCCATAACAAATATTTCTTGTTTTATATATCATATCTTTCACTGAATAAACCTCAAGACAAAATTCCACGCAAGTAAATTGAATCAAACTATTCAAAGCTGTTTAATTTCATATGATGACTACAGTTGAAGAAAATTTCACCTTTATAGTGGAGATAGTAGAGTTTAGTAGAGTATAGACAGTGAAATGTATTTACAATATTACAGTGAATTAATAATAAACGGGGATTTAAAATAATCTAGGATGTCTAATGTGTGTACAAATTCTAGTCTAAAGTACCCGTAGAATATCAGACACGGGATATCAACAGAAACAGATGACATATCAGAGAGAGAGAGAGAGAAAGAAAGAAAAACAAGAAAACAGACGAATGATCAATAGACATGTAAGTTATAGATGATTTTTTCAATCACTTACATCTTCAATACACGACTTAGCCAGTGGATATGTGCAGAAGAATATCAAGCCGATGGATAGGTAAGTGACTGCAACACAGATAAATGCGATAGCCACATCACGAGTCTAAAATTTAAAAATTGACATAGTAAAAATGAAAGATATTTAAGAATTCTCTCTTGAAGGTAAATATCAAATCTACTCAAGTATCAAATGGTAATCATTAGATAATATTCAATGAAATCGAATGTATTTCACGAGACAAATTTATTCATATTGACTTGTTTATTTCAAGTGGAATTAATCATGGAGTAATATCAGCTGGAACAGGCAAAAACCAACAAGTTGACAGAAGAGGGAGCGAAAACGGGACTTCCCACAGGTGAACACAGAAAAAACAGAGGTGGTGAAGACACCCAAACAACAACAACACAGGCACAGATCACAATGAACGAGAGAAATCTAAAGGAAGTTGTCTCTTTCACCTACCACCTAAACAAGGCGAGGCAGCATCGTTTCAACTACAGGCGGTACAGACGAGGATGTCAAAACCAGGATCGGAAGACAGCAACACAGGCCTTCAATAATCTGAAATCAGTGTGGAGATCTACTGCACTCAGTATAAACCTTGAACAACATCCGGATTTTCAACACTAAGTTAGTCAAGTCAGTGCTTTTGTATGGTTCAGAAACTTGGCACGTCACGAAAAGCACTTCCAACAAACTACAAATATTCATCAACAGCCGCCTACGCTCACTCCATACTGAAGATCGGATGGCCAGAAAGAATAACCAAAAAGGAACCCTGACCTGGCAACGAACTAACCAAGAACCTATCACCCAACAAATATGCAGATGAAGAAAGTTGAAATGTATTGGATTGTGGACATACTGAGAAGACAATTTGAGGACGTCACGCATCAGACGAGGCACTCGAGTGGAAGCCGAATGGGAAACAAAGAGTTGGGTGTCCGAGGTGAGGATTATGTGTGGAAGAAACGAAAGCTTGTGGTCAGTGTTGGAGTCAGGTTGAAGAGACAGCAGGGAAGAGAGTGCAATGGAGACATGCTACTGAAGCAGTATGTTCCACTAGGAACCCAAGGGACAAATAATAATAATCATAACATCAGCTGGATAATCATTGAAAACCCAGGGGTAATGGATAAGCGTTTCGCTTCAGTATGCGATTCCTCAACAGAATTGACACATCCTTGGCTAGGTCGTGGGTGCTTACTCCCATACTAGGATGAAATAGATGGCTGTTCAGCGCTCCCAGGTTTTCAGTGGTCCTTCAAATAATGTCAGTCTATGATGAATGCTGCCTTGAAAAGAAAATGGAGATATCCCATTAACGTCAAAACACATAACTGTAAAGTGCTAATGATTACTGCTGTTTTAATGTAATGAGAAAATATACATAATGAAAATTTTCAATTTGTTACTTCAGTTTTCTGAGATTCTTATATTTGTGGAAAGTAAAATGAAATGGTATGCTGCCAGTGTTTGTGCATCTTGTCTGTCTGCCTTGTTTATTCATCAATTTAGTGTTCTATTGTGTGTTTCTGCTATATATCCCTAATTTTGCATAGCTTTATCTACTGTCTTGCTCATGAACTTAAAATAACTTAATTGGCTATTTTCACACCGTTACTAGCTTTTCTTCTGTCTGCTCTCACGGTTGAACTATCATTGGTTGTTAACTATGTGTGGATTTAATGTTGTCAAGGTCATTCAGAAAAGTATATATTAAGCATCGCTGTCCACTGTATTAACTGCTGTTGAGACAGTGGTGAGCTCTCTATCAACAGTCTGTCCTCTATTCCTCGCTTCGCCTGTCGGTTGTATTGCTGTGGTGGTGGTTAACGTTCTGATTTACGTTAGAGTCGATTCGGTTGCGCGTCAGGTTTGTATCGTTCGCAGTCTGCTAGGCTCGTATCACTTGCAGGTTGTTGGATCATAATACTGGTAGTACCAGCAACAGCAGTGTAATTTCATGACCTAATTAACTACGAAAGCCGATTTACATTTTGTTACAAACTTGCTAAGAAGAAACTGAGACATATTTTGCCTTGTACAATATATATGAGAGCATTACCTTGATTCTTTCGGTAAAAATACTTTACATTAGTTAAAACATCACGAAAGGTACGGCTTTATAGACCTTGCCTAGTTTTCTAGGTCAGCACAATAAACCAATCAAAAAACCGGTTTTCAATTGGGCACCTTCGCATGAAAAAAATACACAATTGTACCGTTTTACTAAGCTACATTCTTTCTCTCCATAAGATATCATCTTTTATTTCAGAGAATACGTAACTCAATTAGTGTGTACATAAACATGAAGTCTGCCTAGTAGGTTTACTTTTCATCCTTTAAAACTGTCGGCTTCAGTGTAGGATTCTCTTTAGATAACTGAAGAGTCTTACGAAAAGGAAGCCACTGGAAACTAGCCGAAGCTCGTCAGCCAAACGTACCTCTTTTCCAGTGAGTGATGTTGTTCCCATTGACACTCGTAACAATTACACCTCTCTGTAAACGCCTAAAGCGTAATCCAGCAGGTTACTGATAGTCACCATTAAACAAACTACAACATGATGAATAATCAGACAATGTCAAAGTGCCCGCATAAAAGCCCATATGCTAACAGAGGTTGATCAATTCATTCCAGGTTAACAGTGGGAAATCGCAACTAGCAATACATAAACGTGACTTATTGTCTTGTTACAGAGTGGTGTGTGTGAGTTGCTATGTGTAATCAAAGTGATATTCATTGAATAAGAGAAACGAGAAACGAATAATGTCCCGCACCAAATTAGTTTAAAATAGATTTCTAAAATGGAAACTTTTAAACAAAGTTTGTACAGATATCTGTTATCTGTTTACTGGTTATCAGGGTAATATATATTTGCAGATCCAGAACAACTTTATCAGAATGCTACTGATCCATTTTTATTCCATGGTTTCTTAGCAGGTGCTACAACCTAAAACAATTTCAATACCACTTGAAAAAAATTATCGATGGTGATACACTCAGACGTCTCTATCACAAACATTCTCAACAGCTTTTGTCCCATTTCTCATAGAAAAAGGCTAATGAAGACACTCACAAACCACGCAAAACATCCTCTTGTTTGCGACGGACACTAGAAGAAAAGGTGAATATTGTGGAACATTGACTACGTGATACAGGATATCCACAGTAATTCATCACTAGACACAACAATGTATCAACGAAACACATAAGCTGTGATGTAGTAGACAATAAGCTTCTTGTCCTAAATCTTCATTTCAAAGATGATGATGTTTCCGGAAGAATTAATTACATAGTAGATGTTGCCTTAAAAATGCTTGACAAATCCTCTCTTCATGTTATCGCCAACTACATCTACCAATTCACATGTACTTGACAGAGTATATAGATTGGACAAACACAAAGAAGGATTTATGACAACATATCTGAATATGTTCCAAGGAATTTGTGACTGAGAGTTTGAAAACTCTTCAACAACACTATTGCTCATCAACTCATTCATATTGGACATGAAAGTGATAATCAGAAATCTCTCAAATTAATTTGTAAACAGATAAATTCGAAATTGTTGCTTTCCAGTGAAGCGTCAGCCACTAAACGGTAACAATCGAATTTATATGTTTGTAAAGAAACAGTTACTGGTCTGTGCCTATCATGGTAAGGACTTTTGTTTTGTTGACAATCATCATGTTTTGCACATATCTTTGTGGATTCTTGCAAGTTGGTTTTCTGCAATTTATCATTTCATGCCAATGACTTAATTACCTGAATTCCATTCAAATTAGTTTGTGTAACCTTTCTCAGTATGTTGAATAAATTTGACAACCCATCTTTTCCAACTTTCGCTTTGGAATATTCGCCTAATCCTTCGATACACTGAAAAAAATAGTCCTGTATCTTTATTCCCTCAGTTTGTATGTTTTCTTTTACTTCATATCAACGTTATAAGCAGCTGATGACAAAGTATGAAATGAAAGTAGATTCATGTTATTCTGTTAAAGCTATTGTTCTCGTTCTACTGAAATTTATGAAGTGAACAATGTGTATGAAATATATCCGTAAAATCTCGATAAAGTAGTGAACTAAATTTTTGACGTTTCATGATCTCCTCTAAGTCACTTCTTCAATAGACAAAACTAGTACAGACAGGAAATGAAGGAAACAACACTTCATCATACGAAGAGAAATCTACCAACTTGAAAGTTGTTCATAATTTATCCAAGTGAAATCTATCAGAATATGAGATTATATTACTAACGTAAAGTTTGATGTAAATAATTTGTACAAGTTTTATTCTCTGCCGAAGCGACTTTCAATTGATCATGAAACATCAGAAATTTATTTTTCTACCTAATAAGGATTCTACAAATATATATTTCCTTTACAAATAGTTTACTCAATGCTCAATTTATTCAACTCTATCAGGTCAAATTTTGATACAACATTAGTATAATAACTGAGATGTTCTGAGGTAAAATGTAATTGTATCTAAGGATTTACTACAAGCTAAAGAATATTAACTTCTGATTGAAACTCACCTACAAAACAGTTAAATACTGTTAACTATAGTCACTTTGTTTTTGATGAAATTTAACTAGTTACTTTCTTATCTTTAAATCAGAAACTATAGTATGACTAAAGTTCAATAAAGGCAACCATGAAAATAATAATAATAATAATAATGTTAGCTTAACTCACATTATTCTCTGGTTTTTTTTGAGTACGTGTGAGTGTATGCAATGCATTATGACTGAAAAATGCCAATGAACATATACCCGTCAGGCTGACAAATGTAGTCTGAGCTTCTAAATAAATATATATATATTTTTTCATTAAAGAAATTTGAAAATATACTTTTTACCGCTATAACTGGTAACAACATAACATAACAAATTGAATTCAAAATATTTTTTGAAGTTTATAAAGTTAAAACTGGTGATATTGTAAAACGCTTGTTAAAAAACCAAACAGAAACTAATTTAACGACAAAAAGAACAACCGAAAAAAAAATATTCACCTTCATTTCGTTTTTTCTAGAATATTTCCTTAAGAGAGGATATTATTGTTAATGGTAGATTGTGGCTAGCAATGGAATCCAGGATGCGCATTTCGTCCTATTTGGGACTCGTCAGCCGGATGTACCTACTTCCCAGTGAATGATGTTCTTCCCACAAGGATTCGGACTCGGGAGCGATCGCTTCAAACGCCAAGGCGTTATCCACTACACCACCCAGCCATGGATATAGTTTTAGTATAATTGTTTTTATATGATACCATCGTTGCTTGGACATCATCAATACAATTAGGACGCAGGCAATATTGAGGCATCCGCACAGGAGCCCATATGCCAATAGAGATCGATCATTTCTGTCCAAGCAACGACGGTATCATATAAAAACAATTATACTAATAGGATATTTTTATTATGATACCGTTTAAAAGATATTAAGACAAATGAAAACTGCATATCAGTCATAAAGGTGATTAGTGTTAAAACAAATACTTCTATTCAAAATTATCTTTTTAAGATTCATATTTGAAGATTTTTACTGACTAAACGATTTCATCATGGACTGGTATCCGTTATAGAAAGATAGAAAACCTTGAGTGCGCCAGACAGATGTTTCATCCAAGAATGAGATATCTGACTAGAAATCGATAAATATTTACCACTGAAAATAGACCCAATAGCTGGATGGTGTCATTTTTACCATGCAACTTGACTGTCTTGGAGTTGATACATAGTGAGGTCATTGGTGTATATTGCTGCAAAGTTCCATAATCATACGGAATAGCTTCTCAGCGCTCAAAATTCTTCTACACCACTGTTTAGCCTTGACATACAGACGTAGGGGTGCTGTGTATTTCTAATAAGACATATGAGAATGATTAAAGCATTTTTGAGGAGGTAAAAAATGATAAGCGGCAGAGTTGGTGAATACATGAATACATTAAATGTTGCCATAAACGTCACAATGGCTGTTGGAAGTGTCATACAACATTTCGGTTTTTTTCGGATAACTTTTAGTTTGACACTGTAGAAACATTCCTATAACTTTGCTGACACAATCAGAATAATTCATTTCTTAAACATTTGTATCGAATTCATTATACATATAAACTCAGATTAATCTAGTGCTAATTGGTGACTAGCTTCAAGAGGCTATTCCTGGAGTTCCAGTGAAAAGTCGTGACCGGTGGGGTAAAACGTGGTGAACGTGAAGATGAACACTCAGTGATGACATTGGGTGATGATCAAGCTATGTGGTAGACAGACAGAAGTTGGAAATATGGATCATATGATCACTACCCGATGACTCAATGGTAAGGTGCTAGTCATGGAACCTGAAGACCCTCGGTTCTATTTTTGTTCGGGTGATGCGTGTGCATTGCAGGGGAGTCTCATACTATAACGAAACAGCTGACCAGGTTTCGAATGTTCCCCTAAGTGATGTCAGACCATAATAAATACCAACTTGAAATCAATAAATCCTTACAAACCATAAAATTGAGTACATTTAAACGTTTCATTGTATACATGTAATTTTTGAAGGTCAAAATATGAAAGACTGTAGAGTTTAAACAAAAAACTTGATAAGTTTGTTTACTATTATTGTTTAATATGTTCTAATTACTAGCAGTCAGTTAGTATTAACATCGAATGGGGTACCACTGCATAGCCGTCCAGGTGATCTACAATCCAGTACTTTTATTACTTGACAAAAGCCTATAACAATGAACTTGCAACTCATATACATAAACGCAATTGTACTAAGCCTGAAATATATTTCACAGAATTATGTTACCATTGTGTTCCGTATCGCATGCGATTCTCTACAAATAAAAATTCATACAATGTATCATTTCTTCGAGATTTATGTTATGCCTGTTTACATATTGCTTTGTTTAAACTTCATAGTTTTTGTTAATAATGTGGGTTTCCGCAAACTGTTTATGAGTAAGGACCTCGAAACATATTCGAGAGTTTCTTCAGAAGTAAATTAAATCAACTGAATCCATAAACATTGGTAGTAGATGTCCAAGCTCGTCCATCATCAAACATATCATTGAGATAGGTGATAGGTTTGACGTGGTCACTTCTTTTAGACTTATCTATAAAATGTGTTGAGAAGGGATCCTTAAACTTTTTGACGCCTTAGCTAGTAACAGGTTTAAACGACCATATGTGTTTTCAACAACACTTTGTTATCACATTAAATTTTCTATGGTGAATTAAACTATTGAACACTAATTTCTATGTAGTATTATTTTCGCCTTGTTGATAATCATTGTTATTTAGGCCTTAATTCAGCCTTCCTACTTGACCTCTTTTCATTTCTTTACTTCTTATCTTCATGAATTTTCATATAAATACCTATGACAAGTATATATGTTATCAGATAATTTGAAATTTGGTGTGCAAATACAATACACGGTCCAGACAATTCATGTCTTATTGTTTCATCGAAGCTCATAAAGGGAACTGACTGTTTTCAACTGTTTTAAGTTGAAACTATGTGAATATTTCAAAGTGAATTAAGTTTTTCCATAACTCTCAACATTATCATGTTGGTATTTGCTAATTTACTTAAGACCACTCTCTTACTGACTGATTTTACATCTGATTATATTGATATACAAATAAAGCAGTATACCCAATTTTAGACAAGTTGAGATTCCTAATGTATACACTAGAATACTGTGACGTTTTTGTTGGTTTTCGAGACTGTGAAACTATTTTTGTTTAGACCTGTGTTCTTTTGAATTTCATTGAATTTATTAACATCTAGAAGGGTGGGTAAGGACCTTTATAATTACCCAACATCATAATATGTATTCAGATAGATGGCAGGAAATACTAAAAACTGCATGGACGCCCACATACACAAGAGTTTGATGAAAATGTAAGGTCTATCAAGTTTTCAAGATTTTATCAAGTTACAACTAAAATCTTTACTTCTCTGCCTGTTTTTGTTGACAATATTCCAGGAGAAATTGAAGATCTGGGTTTCGACTACGAAGCAGTGCAACTAATTTCTACACAACGCTAACAATTTTCTGATTTAAATAAACTTAGAATGTGAGAGTAGAATTTAGGCGCTATGGTGAAGTGTAATGCTTTATCGAACAAGTCCATCTGAGAACACACAATAAAACAGAAACGTTTACTAAATGAAGTTCCAAGAACAATTTATTGCTTATTATCATATCAAGGTAATCACAAGGATTCTGTTCCGCCTGTCAAGGTTAAGGCAGGCAGATAGGTGTGATACATTGCCTACTGTGCTAACGTACACAATGTTGCTGAGTGCATTTCGAATTTCCATTCGACACGACGTCAGACTGACGATTTTCATAATCCTGTCACTTATTTTACCCTGATTTAAGTGGTAATAAGATTCTTCATATATCTGGAAGATTCAGTAATCAATCACTAAGTGTATGCATAGTTTAACAAAACCAGGTTATACGTTTTTAATACACTAACCTAGTTTGTACTTTCGTATAGATAAGGCTTCAACTAACCTAAGTATATGGTCTTGATGGCTTTTATATAACGGTTTAAAGGCTATTTTGGGGTCACTACTGTGATACGCTTCTATATTGTGTCTACCCATAGAAGGTAACATCTGTCTGCCCTCTGTATTTACTGTTGTTTTTCTAGGCTTTCAGAGATATGCTCCAGCACCCTCGACTTCAATGTTCGATTACTCCTCCTAATGTGTGTGTCCTCGTACATACATGTATATTGGCATGCACAGTGGAATGTGACGTAATCAGTTATGTAGTGATGAGGTTTATTTTGAAGTAAAGATTTCACTTTAGCTATATTATTGAGCTTGGTTACACATTATATCTTTTTAATAACCAACATAAGCCTTCATTTAAAGACTATGTTGTTTGATTCCCTATTATATGGTAGCGTGATGTGAACGTCCTTCTTTTGCAATGATTAGTTCACACTATTGAGAAGTATTTATAACGATTAATGAATATATTAATAGTATGGTATAATTTGCATGTTCAGCATTGGCATAAATCAACGTCAAATTTGAAATTACTGGTAACTAGGGTGTAACGTACAACTGTCTCGTTCATGTATGTGACACCTGAGAGTGTGTTATCTTACAACTGGTGTACATTTGTAGATTACAAATCACTGGGAGCATAACACGCCATAACCTTCATTGGATTTACTTGCGAAACGTTAGAAAAGACAAACAGACAAACTCATTCAACAACTATATGAAGATGCCACATGCCAAATAATTCACAATGGGAAGCTAAGTGATGCTGTTGAAGTGAAGATAGGAGTAAAACAAGGCTACCATCTACTATCACCCATGATATTCCCGATTGTGGTCAACTGGATCATGCAGCAAACTGTGCAGAGCGAGGAGAGGGGGATACGCTGGCTGCACCGGGGGAAAGAACCAAGAGGACTTGGACTTCACCGATGACTTGTGTCCGATGTCACACAAACTCAAAGATCTACAGGTGAAAACTAACAAGTTGACAGAAGAGGCAGCAAAGACGAGATTCCCTTCAGGTGAACGTAGAGAAGGCAGAGGTGATGAAGATACCCAACCAACAACAAAAACAACAAGCTCCAATCATCATCAACAGGAGAAACTTGAAGGAAATAGCCTCCCTCACCTATCTAGGCACTACTATTTCAACTACAGGCGTCACAGGCACAGACGAGGACGTCAAAGCCAGCCAGGATCAGAAACACAGCAAGACAGGCCTGCATTAACTTGAAACCAGTATGGGGATCTTCTGCACTCAGCATAAAGTGGGAACAAGATGCAGATTTCCAACACCAACGTCAAGTCAGTGCGTCTACTTGACGGTTTAGAGACTTGGCGCGTTACGAAAGGCGTTTCCAATAAACTACAGACATTCATCAACAACTGCCTACACTGGCTCGTTACTGAAGATCAGATGGATTGCCAGAAAGAATAAGAATAAGCAACAAGGAACTCTGGCTGGCTGGCTGGTTGACTGGCTGGCTGACAACGAACCAACCAATCAACGAACAACCTATCGCTCAACAAATATGCGCTGGAAGGATGTGGAGATGGGGTTGGATTGGGCGTACATTGAGAAGACCGACTGGGGACATCATGCGCCAGGCCAGGCTGTCGAGTGGAACCCATATGGGAAGCGACGAGTTGTGCGTTGTAGGTGAGGGTGACATCGATGATATGGTGTGAGGAAGAAATGAGAGCTTGTGGGCTGTCGTTGAGCCAGGTTCAAAAGATTTCAGAGAATAGATTTCACTGGAGACGTGGTACTGAAGCCCTATGTTCCATTAGGAACCCAAGGGACAAATAATAATATAATAATAGATAAATGAAGAATAAGAAGTGAGCATAACAATCAAGTTTTCCTATGGAATATGGTTGAAAGCAATTTAGAATGTAAGAGGATCGCATCATTTCATTGGTGGATTAAAAATACAATGAGGATTTTTACAAGTAAGGAAAAAATCTAACACATAATCTCGTAATAATTTTGATTATTTTGGATAGCTATAATTTAGTAGACTAGTATTCAGTTATCACCCAGTATCAATACTAGTCTATCAAAGAATGACTATCTCAAATAGTCAAAATGACAGTCAATATAATCCGCCCCCTATCTAATTCAGTTAGATTTGGATCGGAATAAGAAGTACTAACTGGGCAACCAGTGTGAATACAATCAAGCGATAGTAATCGATCACGAATTCACAAGGTAGTCACGTAAAATCTCGCCTATAATTTAAATGAAATAAAATTCAGGTCAGCAATTGGACCTTTTAGTTTAGTTGGTAGAACATTGTGCCAGAAACCTGATGGTCATTGGTTCAAATCCGATTGTGGTTCAAATTTTCATTTCACCTTCAATCATTATCTAGTATACATAATCTAGTAGGCAAATGCAAACAAATGCATAGAATAGTAATGTATGATTCATCAAGTATCGTTTTACCAGCTTTCACAAACAACAAACAACAACAAAAACTGTTTTGATAAATACCTTTTTTAAAGATCAATAGATAGACCTGGAAGGGATCAATATTTTGGCAAATGATTATACATATACATATATTTTCTGAAAGGTATCCTATTTTTGGCAACTGAAAAAAACATAACACATTTCATACAAACCCTGCACAAATATCTATGCATTTTTAAAACAAAAAGAAATATGTATCCACCAACCGTGTAAATGTTTACTCACTGGCTGTAAGATTTATTTCGTATAAAAGGGTTTATTTGAAATGAATGGTGTAATATAAAGTTTTACAAAATCCAGCGAAAAAAACGTCTACATCATGCCAATTTAAATAGAGGTGTAAATAAGTATATGCCAGAGTATTTATTCACTTTATATAAAATCTTATTTCTAGCCTAATTTTCTATATGTCAAAACTTGAATGATATGGAGAATAGAATAAGCCTAACTGATGCGAGATAAACACAGATAATGGGATTAAAATTGTTTGGTGATTGAACTGAATGCAGTTGGGTCTCATAGCTCAGTTAATAGAGAATCGGACTGGAAACCCTGCAGCAGGCCAAATTTTCATCTCACTTTCGAATATGACTCCGAAACAAAGGATTTCAACATATCTTGAAGCTTTCATTGTCATTCAAGACAACATTATCAGTACAAACGTCTTTCATGATTAAGCCATCCGGCTCAGAGAATACAACATCATCACAATCATCCCTCTGAGATATAAATATTCTCCATTATCACATAATTTGGAAATTGTAAGGGAAAAACGTTTTTTACAAAGGCATATGCCAAGGTATTTATTAAGGCAGAAGGCATAGTTTAAGTCAAGTTTGCCCAGCTAGTTTAATTTTTTTTGGCATGTAATCCGGATTAAACATTTTAAACCTGATCTCAATATACAGAAGCATAGTGTGATTAAACACGACTTATGATTTTCAGTCACTGATTTGTATTCATTCTCAGATATCCTATTTTCCTGATCCCAGCACCTCATGTATTCGTTTTGATGGGAATTTCATTTTATGTTGTTTTCATTAACGCATTTGCTATGAGATCCATAGGATCTGAGTTCGATCCCTAGCTGGGTCGCGGTTGCGTAGTGCTGAGTTATATACTAGAACGAAATAGCTGTCCAGTGCCCCTAGGTTTTCAATGGTTTTCCAACTAGTATCAGACTATGGTGAATGCAACCTTTAAAATATTTGTTTGCTGACTGATATTGAAAAGCTTTGTGATTTCGGACTGTTTGCAGTTGATGATAGGCTATGAGATGAAATGTGTACATTTTGTTCTGTCTTTGCTCATGACAACCGAATGTTTATGAAACACAAAGATGATGAAAATACAAAATGAGTCTATAATATTTTGTTCTGAGCTGAACTATTACCTTGGGGATAATAGTTTTCTCTGTATATTAGAGGTTTTGAATAATAGATGTTAGAGGAGATAAATAAAAAGTGACCAATGTGAAATGACTTTAATAAAAATCCATTTTATTCACGATCTAGCTACTTTTTATAGAGATGCTTTTTGTTATCCTATTTATTTCAAGGTTTTTAGTGACAACCATCTCCTTCATATTCCTCCTAAAAACTATCCTTTTATGCTTATAATTTATTATCAACGGTAATGGCTTGAAATTATGTTGATGAGATTGAATTAATTATTGTATAAAGCAATGAGGTATTCACTCACACACACCAACTGATCCCTTCAATAGATTAGTACACATATGTATGGGCAGAACGGAGCTTTATGGTAAAAATACTGTTCAGTAATTAATAAACCTTAAATGATGGGAAAGATTTGAAGATTTGATATTTTGTCGTAACTTTCTGGTGGAAAGTTCCGCTGTGTAAGAAGAAAACCTACTCTCGAGTGGAAGCTCTCTGTGTAGTGTCATAACAAAATATCGAAGCTTGGAGAACATTAAGCCATCATCATCAATAAACCTAATGTTATTAGTCAGATTATAACAAAATCCTTCATTATAAAAGAAACAAGGTCTATTAATTTGTAACTACTCTTAAAAAATATTGCATGAAATGTTGTTCCTTGATACTTATAATTTCCTTTTCGAATACTAGATGAAATTTCTCTACTTTTGCTGAAAGAAAGGCTTCTATGAGGATGGCTCGTTATTGCCTGAACACCATGACTCACTAGTAAGCCAGTACATCATAAATCGAAGGAAACACGCATCTTGAGGCCAACTAATAGCCACCAAGTAAACTGTAATCTGATAAGCATATAGACGGTATCGATGCATCCACATAGGTGCCCATCTGCCCACAGAGGTCGAGTAATTCCATCTAGTATAACAACAGAAAATTACAAGTACCAAGAAAAAACATTTGATACCCGTTTCAAAAGAGGAGGTTTCCTGGCTTCAGTGGCTCAGTAGACATTGCTTTGACGTTTGAAGTGGTGTGTGGTTGGTTCCAGTCTCTTCGGAGAGACGATCACTGGCTGAGATGGTAAATCCGGCCGATGAGCCTCAAACTGAGAGAAATGCACTTATAGTTTCTGATTAATAAGAGTAAGTAAGTTCTTTGTGATTATTCAGTCACGTTCTTATTTGCTTCTTTCCTTTTCCAGATTCTTGTGTTGGCTCAATAGACTACTATCACAAAGATTACACAAGCTGTTATGTCTACCCTTCTGGACTAAAGTATCCGCAGGCCAGATGAAAAACTATCAGCAGCTGTTCATTATAGCTAACAGAGTGAAATCAAAATGACTAGATCTGATATTTTATATTCATAGTGCATCACTTCATAGTATGATTTCGATTATTTGATATTGTCGATGGGTTCACATAGAAGATAGGCATCAGAGGCTGGATCTTGTAGATCAGGTGGTAAATCACTGAGCGAACAACTCGTAGGCTCCTGGTTGGAGTGTTGTCGTAACCCAAGTTTTCGTCTTACCTTCAACCATAGTCCATTTAAAAAGGGTACAACAAAAGGTTTTCCAGAGAATACAGGAAAATTGAGTGGTCATAGATGTATCAGAACCAGGCACAATTTTTCTAGTACTTAACGCTACGTGGCTATACTGTATCCAAGTACAAAAAGAAGCAAATGAACTAAGTCTCTTGACATATAGCCTTAAAAACCGATTCCTCATTATTTTTCATCGTATTCTGTTCATCTCTTTTATACTTTTGTTAGAATAGACTACATAACGATAGTGATGTAATAGTTTCATTAGAAAATGAAAAATTGACAAAAAGATACTTCACTGAAGAAAATTTTCTTTTCGATGCATCAATTTCAACAGCTGTACATAGTAATCATAGCTACAACATATCAGCAGTTAATAGTCATCAAAAACGTTCAGTTAAATCACAAGGTGATAATGACCAGAAGGTTGACTAAAGGTCATAGAAAAATGCTTAAAATATTGCAATAAATAAATGAATAGTGATATAATATCAAACTTACGATGTACAATTTTGTATGGATGCGTAGATGTAAAGTCTAGATTAACTCCCCATTGACCAGCTTTAATGCATACTAATATAACGAGATAAAAAACTGAGATTGTACCTGAAATAAAAAAACAAAGGAAATACACAATACATTGATGATAATAATAATAATAATGACAAAATGATCATAATGTAAGCATACTAATGGCAATAACGTTTGTTGTTGTTACTTTCTTTAAAAGATTCATGCAAATGATGAACTAATGATTATTTATTTTTATTATTTGTCCCTTGAGTTCCTAATAGAACATAGGGCTTCAATAACACATCTCCAGTGAACTCTGTTCTCTGCAATCTTTTCAACCTGGCTCCACAACAGTCCATAAGCTCTCATTTCAGTGGATAAAAGTATTTTTTTTTTTATTTTTATCCATCAGATCCTTAAGTTGCAGATTTTTGTACCATCTCAATGAACCACCACTATCAAAATTACGCTTACATTTCTGTTGATTCTTCATTACATAGCCCATCCAAAAATAGCTGGCTATTTCATATTATTGCCTTGAATACTATTACTATTATTAACATCATTCCGATATAATAACCGTTTTGTCTGAAAGTATTGTTCTGACAGTGAATTAATTGAAAAATTACATGCTGAGAATTTTATACTGTGATACATATTGTTTGGAATAAAGCGATTATCATTATTATTATTATTATTATTATTCATGTTGTATTTTAGTCATTGTATAAATACACTCTTGAAAAAGATTTTATTCACTACTGAACACTAATAATCTCTTGTACTTTTGTGTATTCTGAATGAAGCTAATCCAAGTAGTTTTAATGATACTCATATCTTGCCACTGGATTGAATTTCTGCTATCAAAGCAAATCAACAGATAGACTGAAGAGGATTTCACTGAAAGGTTACTAAAGGGTTTTCATTTTATTATTGGTTACCGCTTTATGATGTGATCACGAAGCCCTGTAAATATAAGTATAATGGAGTATTTTGTTTGGTATTGGATGCTTGATACCAGAAGGCTATGCCTAACACTGGTTTCTCACCTTTTTGCTACTCATCAACATACTTTATGGACACACTTGATATTCTCTTACAAACCCAGTACCTTGTTACACACTGCTATAGTCACAGACATCATTTGGAACATAACTTACATCCAGCAAGAGTGGATGGTACACAGTATTCGATCACTTAGGAGTTGTCTGGCTAAAACCTGAAGCTCATATTGACATAAAAATGTAGCACCTGAAGTTCCTACAATATTGTTGAACTTATTCTGTTCAGTTTAGCAATAAAAGTTGTATTGTTTACTTCAAATAGTGTGACTGTGAATGTAATCCTGCCAAAAATATGTTTATCAGTCACTGATGCATTATAACTCACTGTCAAAGGACATAGCCAATGAGGTGCACAGGGTTTTTTGACAGTTCTCAGTTGACACTTCAAAAGATAACTAGAATACCATTGAAGCGTCTACCTATAAATGATACTAATTTCGCGTATACTTCCTCCCTGATAATCTCCTGTTTTAATTTAAATACTTTTGGTTATTTACAAGTTCACTTACCAAGCGCATTGAATTTCCCAAGAAATGTTGGTGATTTAATCGAAATAAGCGGGATGATAATAATTAAAAGCCAAGCCGGTACAGTTCGTGTTTGTGACCATAAACGATCATATATTGTTACTTCTCTGTGATGTGATGAATGATTTAAATCCTGATGAACACTGACCAATGGACTAATGATAACACCTTCTTGATCTTCAATAGATAATGATGGTGAATTTAGGCATATAACTAAAGGAGTGGACACAAATAAACCACACTATGAGTTCAAGGAAGATGTAGAAAGTATACTTTCAAATTATCCATTAAAAATTAGGTAATATACAACAAAGTGTCTGCTACACGACACTGTTTAAATGAGTGAATGATGTACAAAGTGAGGAATTTTTTTATTTGAAAAGTTAACACAGTCCTGTCCTAGGCAGGTAAAAAGATCTCACATATGAGTAATATTCATGTTTGTCTGTACAGTAATTACACTAAAGGATCAGTATTAGAGTTAACCTTGCGTAGTCTTAACTGATGAAGTAGATAATACAGCCTTTAATTGAAACAATATATTACTCTGATTTCCTTATCTTTGGTAAACCACAAGTAGAAATTTGAGTTAAAGTCTCTTGTGTTTGTATTAGGCGTTTAGAAAAAAAAGAGGACAACATAATTAAAGGAAAGAGATTACTTTGATGGATAGAGATTTGAAATTCGTGAAAATTATGACTCAGTTTGACGCTTCACTTTGTCTTCATAAAGAAAAGGATTGACTTAATGTGTCATATATCATTCAGTATGGGCGACCTAAGTCTTTGCAAAAACTGGCAAGGAATCACGCTGCTGTCCACCCGAAGCAAAATATTAAGCCGCGTCATCCTGGAGAGAAGAGACCAAAGGATGCGCTGGATTCAAAACTACGACCAGAACATGCTGGTTTTACGAAGTACAAATCATGTGCGGACCAAATTGCAACGCTTCACATCATAGAACAGAGTATAAAATGGCAGTTGACCCTCTACCTCAATTTCATAGACTTTGAACAGGCCTTTGACAGATGAAAACTAATAAGTTGACAGAAAAGGCAGCAAAGACGAGATTTCCTTCAGGTGAATGTAAAGAAGGCAGAGGTGATGAAGGATGATGGAACAGGACTTGAAACTGAGATCCATTGATTGAATGTAATCGCTCTAAATCAATAAACCACACCTCCATACTTGAATACATATAAACTTAAGGGGAGAAATCTGAGTTCCATTCATCAACAGATAACATAAAGAGTAATTTAGATGAACATTATAACAAATCAAGAATAGTTTTCAATGTTGTTAACCATGATGAGATCAAAAATTTGTATTTAAGCTGAGTTAAAATAGACGTAACTTTTATTAAAGGATTTGAGCAACACAAAAAATGAGTTTAGGAAAAAAAACTCGAATGCAAATCAAACTCACTTTCCATCATACTGATTTTCTTTCAGCCTTGATTATTATCAACTTATATAAACAAAAAGAAATCGACCTAGCACCTAAGTGTATACATTCAAGTGATCATACATCATAGTATCAGATAAAGATGAAATAGGTAGAATGATAATGATAATAAGGTAAACAAAACTGTATGAAATTTGATTGAATAAATAAATGAATGTTAGGGAAAATGCTTAGAATTTCTAAGGTGATAAAGCGTGCATATATCTGGGTTAATATGACTAATTCTTAGCTGTATAACTAAGCATCTTTAACCATTATACCCTATCGTTTGAAGGGACCTAACCAGGTAGCCTACATCTCTGAAATTCAGACCAACAATCAACAGACCCATAGACAGGTGATATACCTCACACATCCTTATCATCCTTAGTTTCTTTAGAATCTAACTTTACTTCAGATAACATCGCATGTCGAGTTAGCTCGGTTTCTGACTGCATCCAACCAAACATATATATCCACAGTAATTTTAATGCAAATTAATTCTTTCTTTACAACTAAACAACTAAATTGTATTCAAATAAAGCACGAACAACAGCTTCAGTAGAATAGAACGCGTACATCTTATCTCGTGGTTTCTCATCACCTGCTTACAACCTAAAACAATTTCAATACCACTTGAAAACATTATCGATGGTGATACACTCAGACGTCTCTATCACAAACATTCTCAACAGCTTTTGTCCCATTTCTCATAAGAAAAGGCTAATGAAAACACTCACAAACCACGCAAAACATCCTCTTGTTTGCAACGGACACTGGAAGAAAAGGTGAATATTGTGGAACATTGACTACGTGATACAGGATATCCACAGTAATTCATCACTAGACACAACAATGTATCAACGAAACACATAAGCTGTGATGTAGTAGACAATAAGCTTCTTGTCCTAAATCTTCATTTCAAAGATGATGATGTTTCCGGAAGAATTAATTACATAGTAGATGTTGCCTTAAAAATGCTTGACAAATCCTCTCTTCATGTTATCGCCAACTACATCTACCAATTCACATGTACTTGACAGAGTACATAGATTGAACAAACACAAAGAAGGATTTATGACAATATATCTCAAAATGTTCCAAGGAATTTGTGACTGAGAGTTGGAAAACTCTTCAATAATGCTATTGCTCATCAACACATTGATATTGGACATGAAAGTGATATTCAGAAATCTCTCAAATTAATTTGTAAACAGATAAATTCGAAATTGTTGCTTTCCACTTGAGCGTCAGCCATAAAACGGTTACAATCGAATTTATATGTTTGTGAAGAAACAGTTACTGGTCTGTGCGTATCGTGGTAAGTACTTTTGTTTTGTTGAAAATCATCATTTTACTTTACACATCGTTATTATTTTACGTTTCACACCCTTAACCAAGTTATCTGAATGTTACTTTTCTTAGCTCCTTGTTAACATTAATCTTATAACCTTTTGAACATTTCGTGGAAGTTTTTTATTACGCTGAATACACTCATCCTCCCTTTTTATCCAACTTCCACCCTGGAATATTCGTCTAATGCTTCTTTATATTGGCAAACGTAGTTTTATCAGGTTATCCCCTTAATTGATGTGTTTTTGATTATTTCATATTGATGACATCTTTATGTCATTCTGGCAACTCCATCAAACTGATTCGAGTATGTAAATATTTTGTATACATTATTTCAAGTTGTAAGCAGTGGATTAAAAACTGCTACTTTATTTAAACTACAAATGTTATATTAAGATCTTGGTTTAAACTTAAACTACACCAGAATAAGATACTTATTAACTCATGGAATTATTCATTTTTAAGAGAATATGAAAACTCTAAACCAAGTCACTTAGAAATTATATACATATAATACTATAAAGTAAATTTTTACTTGTCATATAACCTATGACAATGATACTACAAGTAGTCGTAGTCAAACAGTCGATTATTACATCATATAAAAACATGTATAAATTTTTGCCTAGTGTTTTGCTTAAATAAATGATGATAACAATACTATTATAAAATCAAGCAGATTGTAAAGGTTGTACTATTTACTTACTGTCAAAGGAAAAAAATAACAATAAACTAGATCATATGAAGTTCATAATAGCAATAATGAAGTGTTTATTTTGATGATAAATAGAAGCGAAAAAAAAAAGGAATAAGCTATGAAATAATTTCTTTTAATAAGTCATATTTGTATTGAATAAGTGAATACCTTAAATAATTTTTCATATCAAAACGAAAACTGATCAATTCTTGAACATTAGATCAGCTCAAATGAAAAATCATTTTATCCATATTTATTTATTGTATGTATACAAATACAGTACTATGTCAAAGTGATGTATGTATGATAAATGTAATAATAATATAGTAATAATATTAGTCAGTAGTATATACATATGACAATAAGTAGAAGAAATATTATCATAAACCAAAAGAATAATTCATTGTAGACAGTTATGACAGTAAGTTATTTCTTTGATTTTTATAAAACACGTGTTCTTTCACACACCTCTACATTCATATATATATATATATATATATATATATATGTACATATATTGTCCTTGAGATATACAAAAATTCTAATTCTATAAACCAGTAAATAGTAACCAAGCCTATTAAGTACTTACCATAAAAGTATCGGCATACAAATATAATTCAGTGCTGAAGGATCAAGTGAATTTTTTTTTCATAAATGAAACACCTACCTATACGATGGGTTACTAAAGGTCTTATAAAACATCATGAATGTTTAAACAGTATCAAGGCATCTGTATAGAAGTCAGTCTTTCAAAAGTGGTTAAACAATTCGACCCTATATAACAATGGAAGAAATTACAAGTATCAGTAAAGAGGTGATACTCGTTGGACAATTAATGGCTATCATAGCCTAGTGGATGACGCCTCGGAGTTTGAAGTGATGGGTACAGCGTTCAAGTCTCATCGAGTAGACTATCGTTCACTGGTATGCAGGTAAATTCAGCCGAAGAACCCCTAAATGGACGAAACGCGCCTCCTGCATCTCACTACTAGTCACTCAGATGAGTATTTTACTTCAGTTGATGTGTAAATACAACTTGAAAATGTGATGTTTCAAGGAAGTACATATTGTTATTAACATTTTATTAGGCTGTACATATTAATGTAATATTCCATGCTAAGAATCACGCATACATCCACCGATAACAAAAACCTTAACATCGACGGTAATCGGTAAAAAAATTGATTTTGGGATTAAAACTGTGAAGTAATATGTTTCGCAGGAATTTTTTTAAGTAATGAATGAAAAAGGTAGCCAACTTCATGCTGTTCAGTTTTAAGTTCTAAGCCAATTCCATAAATCATCTTTCAATGTGATCATCAAGCAAGGAGACTCACAAACGCGATGAACTGGGATAGAAGTTGGTTGGATGAGGATAATCAGCAAGAATCCCAGAGCTTATGTTTCCCGTTGCTTGGCATTCGCCAGCATTGCACACATGCAATCTAGAAAGAACGAATGTGCCCAGTGATACCCGAACTCACATCACCCAACTCTGCAGTCAGGAGCGCTACCACTGAGCCATTCGAGTATCAGCTGACCTTCAGTGGGGTAACACCGGCCACGTTTGTCTGTCAAGTTGGTATTCATCATGGACTGACATCAATTCAGGGAGCATTAGAAACCTGAGAGCACTGAACGGCTGTTCCATCCCACTAGTATCGGACTCCTCGGTGGTGCACATCCATGACCTCAAACCGCCAGGGATCTAACTCACGACC